TTGATCTCCTCTAGGACTGACCAGTTTGATCGCCTTGCAGTCCAAGGCGATCAAACTGGTCAGTCCTAGAGGAGATCAACCCTGACTGCTCTTTAGAAGGCCAGATACTGAAGATGAAACTCAAATACTTTGGCCACCAAATGAGAAGGAAGGACTCCCTGGAGAAGAGTCTAATGGACAGCAGTCTTGGCCCCTGTTGGCTTCTCATTGACTGGTGGGGTGGGAGGCTTCTCAGATTCTGCTTTGGAAGAGCTGGCCACTTGAAGACCATGCTGCCACCGGGCAAATTTGTGATCTGCCCACTGCTGGCATGTCTGTTTTTTAAAAGCCTGGCAATGTGGGCAGGTCTCAACCATGTGTTCCTTGTCAAGGCAGAGGAGGCACCAGGAGTGGCTGGTGCAGCAAGCAGGTGTTATTAGGAAAGGCCTGATTGGAGACCATTGTGGAAAAAGGGAAAAAAGTAGGGTTTATGGGGAGGTTCTGATTTCCCAAGGATCTGTTTCCCTCTCTTTCCCACCCACACTGTGACTTATATAGCTTCTAATGATTTAGGCCTTGCGCTGTGTGAAAAGCCCACATGTGTGATGCACAGAGACCATGACAAAGAACTTACTGCTTTTCACAAACACTTCCTGTAGGGTTGAAAACTGCTCCCTATGTCAATTATCTTTTGGAGGCTTTCTTCTTATGAAAATGTTTTCACCCTTTCTAGCATAATACCCTCTAATTGTTTATATAGCATTATTATGTCATCCTTTGACTACTTCGTTCCTAGTTGAGTGGGTTCTTTCCATATCTATTTATTAATTTATTTATGGGAAGATCACTGAAATCCGATATGGATTCTCCTTGTTTATCTCAATGAGCAATTAAGAGTAACCAGAGTTCTGGAATAAATGGAGTAGCAGAGAGACAAACATGTGGAAAGAAAGGAGAGATGAAGCACTAGGGGAGAGAAAGGCATTGCATTATAGATTATAGATTACATTCACAGTCAAAGGAGAAACATGACAATTGCTTATTTTGACCTGAAAATCTGAATGAGGAAATATTTTGATGCAGCCAACACCTTCTAAAAATTGTTGTTCTTTTTAGAATGAACCATGTGTTTTGAACTTTGCAGTACTGTGCCAAATACTACTCATAATGTTATTTGAACTTCGGTAAAGCCACTTGTTAAATGTACTCTAAGGTCTAAAGGTAAGTATATTTTCTCAGAATTCATGGACAATTTCACCTTGACAATATTACCTAGCAGCAGGATGGGCCACTTCAGAAGCACTTATCAAACTCTTGTTTCTGGACTTTGTAAACTATTGCTACTGCAATTAGCATGTGCAATTTGCAGACATTAGCACTGAAATCTGATGTGAATTCTCCTTGTTTATCTCAATGAGCAATTAAGAGTATGTTTTGGAATAAATGAAGTAGCAGAGAGACAAACATGATTTGTGGTTATTTCCCCTAAAAGTACGGAAAGCTCAATGATTTTTTTATTGTCACAAGACAGATCAGTGCTTAGAAACAGATCCCTATTTCTCTGGCTGTGCGCATATGAATATGTAATTATATAAGAATTACAGCTCTATCCTTAGTGGCAGCAAGTCAATAGACATTTAATTTCAAGAACTCACTATGAAACTGTTATATCCTGCATAGATAGTAGTTACACAAGAGAGTATAAAACTTGATACCCCATAAACCTTTTGTCTGGCACGGTATTGCAAATGCAATATCACTGCCAGATTGCAGTCAAAATGAAGATGAGCTAAAAAGGGAGCTTTGTGAAATGTTCATCAGCTGCAAAAAGCCAAACTCCCCATATATTGGTGACTTTTCAGAGGGGTCTATGGAATGGCAGGAGGATGGTTTCCTGAAGTCAAAACCAATCAGAAGAGAGAAGGGAGCTCCTGCAGTACAACTGTTCTTCCTGGGTCATTTTGTAAGCACTTTATCAGCTTGAAGGAAGCACTTTCCAAAGCAGCGGTGCTGCTGGTGGTGGAAAGATCATGTTGAAGATCACTTCCTATAAATGAGTGAGGTCTTAAACCCCTCCTCTGTCTTTATAGTATTCTTTTTAATATCTATCTTGCTTAACATAAAGGGAAGGGAAATACTTGAAACATTTTGTTTTGAGAACATGTATTTATTTCTGTACATGCTAGCAAAGGATCTGAGATAATCCCACAACTGCCTATGTTGCACATGCCTTCACCAGGATGCCCCAAGTGGCTGATTGTTCTTTTCTTCTCCCACCCCATTTATTACAAAGAATTACAGCAAAACAATGGCAACATTATATTATACAATATGCAGGTAAAAGTCAACTTATTTCAGTAATTCTCAAATTCAATTTCCATATAACAATAACCTCCAATAGGATAAAAACAATCTCCTTGGAATGACCGCCAAGGATTGAAGAATAGCAAAATACACATATTTTTAACATAAACCTTTCAACAGGAATTTAAAGAAAAAAGGAAATTTATGTTAGAATATATTAGATTATTTTCCAATAATAAAAGTTTCTACTTTTCATATCTGCCTATTCTCTTTTGTTCTACTATTGAGTTAAAGCAGCCATCATTGCTAGGAACCACCTTTATTGTACTGATCTTTTGCAAAAGGAAGTTCCAGTAATGCAACATAATATCCTAATAGTACCCTAATAGCTGCCAATGCAGAAGAAATGAATTTATGGTGCTTTTGAACTACTGAACCCTCAATAAAGTTGAAACGAACAATTACCAGGTCCAAAAGAATTTCATATTAATTAATTAATTAATTTAATTTTTTCGATTTATATCCTGCCTTTTTCCTACAAAGGGCTCAAGGAAGCTTATATCTCCTCCTCCATCTTATCCCCACAACAACAACCCTGTGAGGTAGGCTGGGCTGAGAGTCCATGACTGGCCCAAAGTCACCCAGTTGGCTCCGTGGCTGAGCGGGGACTCGAACCTGGATCGTCTGAGTCCCAGTCCCATGCTCTTCCTAAAATCTTTCCTATAATGAGTTTCATTTCTCTCTAGTATCTTGAGCTCAGAACCATTTCCACTGTAAATGAAAATAATCTCCTATTCTGTCTTTACCTTTCCATTTAACACTTTTACCTTTATACTTTTTTTGTCTTAACTCTACAGGGGGGGAATTAATTTATGTTGCAGTCTACCTGTTCAGGCTCACTATCATAATATATATATATATTTAATAATGTTTTGATAGTAAATATTTATCTTTGATCACTATTTTAAAAAAATCTATTAGGTATCCTAAATATTGGATTTTATCTATTAATTCTGGTGAAACAATAATTCAGTTTCAAAATATTCAAACCATGGTAGATCTCCTCCTTTAAGTTCAACTCATTATTTTGAGATAATGCTCTTTATATTGAAAAGGGTTATTTTATTTGCATTGTTTGCTACTTAATTCCAAATTTTCAATTGCTTGAACATAAAGGAGATACGTTTGGGCTTATTAGCCTTTTATATTTATCCCAATACTTTAAAAAGTTTTGAATTAAATCTCTTCACATGGACTGAGAACTGCTGGCTTCCAATAAAGGATCTTTAATCAACATTTTCTAAAATGATGATATAAAAGAAAATGGCTCTTTTAGACAGTCAGTAACACACTACCTCTCTAAATCTCTTTGCCACGTTTTATATATACAGCAGGACCTCCATATCCACTGACTTGCTTACTGTGTTCTCAGTTAACAGTGATTGAACTTGGCCTGAAAGAGAAGTTGTTAAGTGCTGTAAAAGTGCCAAAGAGGAGCTGTGAAGTGCTGTAAAGTACCAAAGGAAGTCTTAAAGAGATGAGGTAAGTATGAATGAAATTGGGAAAAAGAAAAGTATATAGTTTATTTGACTTTATTTTGTGGCTTGCCACCGCCCATGGGTGCCCAATTGCTATTGTATAGTGTATCGTATAGTGTCTACTCCATAAGGATACTCCAGTGTCCTTGCCATGAAAACCCCTTGGACAGTACCAAAATGCAAAAAGATATGACCGTGGAAGATGAGCCCCTCAGATCGGAGGGTGTCCAATATGCTACTGGGGAAGAGCAGAGGGCTAGTACTAGTAGCGCCAGAAAGAATGAAGTGACTAGGTCAAAGCTGAAAGGACACTCAGTTGCCAATGTATCTGGTGGTGAAAGGAGAGTTCCATGTTGTAAATATCTATATTCCATAGGAACCTGGAATGTAAGATCCATGAATTAAGGCAAGCTGGATGTGGTCAAACAAGAGATGACAAGACTGAACATCGACATCTTAGGAATCAGTGTACTAAAATGGACAGGAATGGGTGAATTTAATTCAGATGACCATGAGGTATACTACTGTGGGCAAGAATCCCTCAGAAGAAATGGAGTAGCCTTCATAGTCAATAAAAGAGTAGGAAAAGCAATGCTGGGATATAATTTCCAAAATGACAAAATGATCTCACTTCGAATCCAAGGCAAACCATTCAACATCACAGTAGTCCAAGTCTATGCCCGAATCACTGGTGCTGAAGAGGCTGAAGTTGACTGGTTCTATGAAGACCTACAACACCTTCTAGAATTAACACCCAAAAATGATGTCCTTATCATCATGGGGGATTGGAATGCTAAAGTAGGAAGCCAAAAGATAACCGGAATAACAGGCAAGTTTGTCCTTGGAGTAAAAAATGAAGCAGGGCACAGGCTGGTAGAATTTTGTCAAGAGAATACGATGGTCAACACAGAAATCAGATAGACTATGTGCTCTGCAGCCAAAGATGGAGAAGCTCTATACAGTCAGTAAAAACTAGACCAGGAGCTGACTGTGGCTCAGATCATGAGATTCTGGTTGCAAAATTTAGGCTTAAATTGAAGAAAGTAGGGAAAAGCACTAGGCCACTCAGGTATGACCTAAATCATATCACTGATGAATATACAGTAGAGGTGACAAACAGATTTAAGGAATTAGATATGATAGACAGAGTGCCTGAAGAACTATGTACGGAGGTTCGCAACATTGTACAAGAGGTAGCAACTAAAACCATCCCAAAGGAAAAAAAATGCAAGAAAGCAAAATGGCTATCTGAGGAAGCTTTATAAATAGCCGAGGAAAGAAGAGACGTGAAAGGCAAGGGAGAAAGAGAAAGATACACCCAACTGAATGCAGAAATCCAGAAATAGCTAGAAGAGATAAGAATGCCTTCTTAAATGAACAGTGTAAAGCAATAGAAGAAAGCAATAGAATAGGGAGGTCTAGAGAACTACTGCACCATTGCACTCATTTCACATGCTAGCAAAGTTATGCTCAAAATCCTACCAGCTAGGCTCCAGCAGTATGTGGACCGAGAAGTACCGGAAGTACAGGCAGGATTTAGAAGAGGGAGAGGAACTAGAGATCGAATTGCCAACATACACTGGATCATGGGGAAAGCTAGGAAGTTCCAGAAAAACATCTACTTCTGCTTCATTGACTATGCTAAAGCCTTTGATTGTGTGGATCACAGCAAATTGTGGCAAGTTCTTAAAGAGATGGGAGTACCAGACCATCTTATTTGTCTCTTGAGAAACCTATTTGCGGATCAAGAAGCAACAGTGCGAACTGGACATGGAACCACTGAGTTGTTCAAAATTGAGAAAGGAGTTTGGCAAGGCTGTATACTGTCGCCCTGCCTATTTAACTTATATGCAGGGCACCTCCTGAGAAAGGCTGGGCTATATGAATCACAAGTTGGAATTAATATTGCCAGGGGAAATATCGACACCCTCAGATATGCAGATGATACCACTGTAATGGAAGAAAGTGAAGAGGAACTAAAGAGCCTCTTGATGTGGGTGAAGGGGGAGAGCGCAAAAGTTGGCTTGAAACTCAACATTAAGAAAATTCAGATCATGGCATCTGGTCCTCTCACTTCCTGGCAAATAGATGGGGAAGAAATGGAGGTAGTGACAGATTTTATTTTCTTGGGCTCCAAGATCACCGCAGATGGGGACTGCAGCCAAGAAATTAAAAGACGCTTGCTCCTTGGGAGGAAAGTTATTGCAAATCTAGACAGCATACTAAAAAGCAGAGACATCACCCTGCCAACAAAAGGCTATGGTTTTCCCAGTTGCAATGTATGGCTATGAAAGCTGGACCATAAGGAAGGCTGAGTACTGAAGAACTGAGGCCTTTGAATTGTGGTGCTGGAGAAGATTCCTGCGAATCCCTTGGACCGCAGGGAGATCAAACCAGGCAGTTTTAGATGAGATCAACCCTGACTGCTCTTTAGAAGGCCAGATACTGAAGATGAAACTCCGATACTTTGGCCACCTAATGAGAAGGAAGGATTCACTGGAGAAGACCCTAATGCTGGGAACAATTGATGGCAAAAGAAGAAGGGGATGGCAGAGAATGAGGTGGCTAGATGGAGTCACTAAAGCAGTTGGTGTGAGCTTAAGTGGACTCCGGGGGATGGTGGAGGGTAGGAGAGCTTGGAGGAATGTTATCCATGTGGTCGCGATGGGTTGGACACAATTTCGCGACTAGCATAGCATAGCATAGAAGCACAGACTGTATACAAAAACTGGAAAAGTTCTCCCAAATTCTTCCATCCCTCCCTGGGCAGAGGGATGGAAGAGAGGTGAAATTTTGTGACTGGCAGCTCTCACGTGTAATTTGGGGACAGCTTTCTACCTTCAGTCACAGTGCTTTGGAGAGAGAAGGAACTTAGCTGTTTCTGACAGGAGCAGTGGTCAGGGTTTCCAGGAATTGTGTGAAAGCCAGAACTGACTGGCGGATTCCTGTACCAACTACAGTATGATCAGTGTGTGGTTCCTGCTGACATCAACTAGTAAAGTTAGTGTTTGGAGTTATGTTAAACCCTCATATCCTGATTCAAGTTTCCCCAGCATTTTTAACCTGGCTGTACAAGGGGAATACCTTCTTGCCAAATTTGATGCCTGTTAGTTATGTATAATAGGAAGCCACCATCTCCAGGCACCATACAAAGGATATAGCTGGGCAGAGTGGGGAGAACTTCTGCTGTTTCCTTTCTCATGGCTCATACAAACCATGGTATAAAACTAGGATTCTTGCAGCAAAATAAAGACTGAGAAGGACATCTGCTCTCCACCTGAAAGGAGAAATTATACCTCCAAATATCATCCAGTTCCACCAAGAAATAAAGGAACAATATTGACAGCTCATTTTTAACGAAACACTGAAACACTACTTGCACAAAGTTCCCTACACCTATTTCTCCAAATTTACTAGGTTCTAGTTTGAATGCAAGTTTAAGTGGGTGACCTCTAAAACAGGGCTTTTTTAAAAAAAATGCTGAAGCATATTTTGAACTACATCTTGCCTTTGGTGTACCCCACCCCACCCCCAAAACACAGATGATATAATTTTCTGCAAACAAGTATTAGAATTCTTCATACAGAAAAAGACTTCCTCATGTGACCGGGTGATCAAAGCCATTGTGCGCAAAGGGTTAGGAAAGCAAGAGAACATGACAAGGACGTTAAAGTTAGTGAAGAAAACAGCACTTCATAGAAAAGTAGAAAATAAATGTAATGGTATTTCATAGTGATAAAGGAAGAATAAGGAATGAAGAAGAATCACCCACCTAGAAGAAGACAAAGATCGGTAGTTAAAAGGATCGAACAATTCAGAAAATTTGTTCACATGCAAATATTCAGAAGGACTGCAGAGGAAAGGAAAGATAAACAATTACTACATATGTGTATAGTATATACTCAAAGTATGCATACTGGCCAGCTATGAAATATGCTAGTTGTTTACATATTTATGCTTGGTTTGACCATTATTAACATTTTTATGGCTTATGGAAAAATGCAGGAGAGGAATCAGAACTGTGGACAGGAAGAGGTTAAATAGGAATAAGGGTAGACGAGAGAAATAAACTACTCAGTAACAACACCCCTCCCACACGATATTTAACGGTACAGTCTACAACATTTAAAGATGCTCTGTTTGTTTAGATTGGACCAAACAGCAAATGTTTAGGAATGGGTGGGAAGTCAGTTGCTTGACCCACAAAAAGAAGTAGGTTTCTTCAGATAGTCACCCTTGTGCATCAAAACTGGTGGGGGACTGATGTTCAATCAGCTACTTGAAGTGATTGCTTCTGTTTTATGTTGGCTCATCAGGAAAGCAGTGCAAAATGCAATCAGTCAGCCTAGACTGTATGGATTGAAAAAAGGCCACATTAACACCTTTCCTTTTCTCTCAATGTAGAAATTAGAGACTAGGTATGTAAGAGATAGAGGTCTGAAGAATAACCAAAGGAGGTATGTGTTCAGTCCTCTGATTACATCCTGCAGGGACTTCACCCACCTGATAAGAACAGATGGGTCTATTATAGTTCCTGGGGTGTGGGGAGGCAAACTCCTGTGGGGTTGGAACAAATGCTCCATGTGCATGCTTTCCCATGAAGGGGGGATTTGCTAGGAAGTATAAAGAAAGCACACCAACAGAGAAGAGACAGCACTACAACTGTCCTTTCTATCTTTGCTGATACATTATAAAGCAGAAATAGGTAGCAGCTTATTTAAAGTGGCTCCTTCTCTCATCCAAGTGCTGCTCAACTGCAGCTTACTCTGTTTCTTGCAGTCTCCCTACTAAGATTCAGCAATGCTCAAGCTTTTAAAACAGATTACATTTTACAAGAGATATGCAGAAATGTCTGGTCCTACTCCAGAGTTTTATTAAAGAAAGGAATGTAATTATTTTGCTTTGCCAAAATGAAAGTGTTCATTGAAGGAGCCACAAAAGCTTTCACAGCTCACTCTACAGCTAGGAGGGCACATTTCACCAACCCTGGGGTGCATCAGAATGCCTCAAGGATATGAGGTTTTCAGTTGTGTGAAGGAAGCTGTGTACATGGCTATAGGAATGCTGGCTCCTTCACTCATTCAGTGAGTGCACAGTAATCAGGAGGGTGGATCAGGGTTTGTGGCAACTGGGGTGAGGCTAGTGGGAATGGTCCCTCACTGAATATATGCCTTGCAATCTCTGAAGAGGGCTATCCTGATAAATGAAATGGTCAGGGTCAAGAGATAAAAATCCTTCCCTTTGAACCTTTTGCCCAACCCTGAATTTTGGAATGACATTTTTAGGTTCAAACACAAGTCATTCTAAATGCAACAAGGAACAGTGTGGAAAGGAAAGCTTTGCTGAAGCACACTTATAAGTATAACATGTTCTCATAGTTATATAAACCGTATCAACTGATCTTAAGTCTTCCTTTTGTGTTTTATTCCCCCACTTCTCCCCACTCCTTTTGTTCTCATTATCTTAGAAACTTTTGGAAAGAGCCTGAGTTATGATTTTCATGTTCGGAAAATGCCTCCATATTGAGGCTATTAACTATCCTCATCATTGTTGTCACCAATGGATCTGCATCCACTGAATATAATAAAATATAAAATGTATTTTTCACTTTGTTCTTCCTTATTAAAAAAGATTTAAATTAGGGACATCAAGGAAACTTGTAAATAATGTGCTCATAACACAAGTTTTACCTGCTTTCAAAATTAGCTTTTCTAAGAAATACTTAGGCACACTACATAAATTAAAAACATAACCAGGTGCTGTCGCTAAATTTAGGTAGAACACGAAAAGAGAAAAAGAAAATAGTATATTCCTATTGATTCCTTAATGTTACATTCTTAGAGGGTTATAATATAAATTGTGATCTTATGGGCAATTTTTTAGTCCATCCCATTCTCATCCATGGGGCTTACTCCCACAGGATTGTATGCATAAGAGTATAGCCTAAGAGAAACATTTAAATATAAGCCATAAACAGATAGTGAAGGACTGGGATTGTGCTAATCAATTTGGGCTATGCCAATCTTGCCTAATATCTGTGCACTCACTCCCAGATTTGCATATGGGCCTCTGAACATAAGAGCCCAATCTGAAAATCAAACTATTATGGTGTACAGATAGGACCTGTATGTATTGATTGAATGTGTGTAGGTGTGCATACAAATGTCCAACACATGAACTTTTTGAGTGGAAGTGGGTGTGCTACAAGGAGATGGGTGGGTTGGTATAATATTGATCTCATGTATACAAGATTTGGATGTCTGCTTCAGCTACAGTTTGGAGATAAAATGAGCGAAATAGTGACAATGAATGAATCCCCAAAGTAGTTTACATGGTAACAGCTAACAGTATATGACTTTTAACCACTGTTAATTCAGTTATCTTATTATTCAGACTGTACTATGAAACTTCTTAGAAATGCTACCTGTGTTCCCTTATCCCTTCTGCTTCTTTTTCTTTCACTGTTGTTGAAGGCTCTTCAAGATCATAGGAGAAGAGGTGAAAGGGGCTATGCGGTACATAAGGTAATTTCTCAGCAGTTGGAGATGCCTTTGGAGTAACAGAAGAATTTGGGGAAGAGTTGATGGAAACAGATGTGGGCGATGAATGAAGAGAATAATGGCATGAAGCAAATGAATCAGGCACAGGGGATGATGAGCTCCTGGATGGACCCTCTGCCCTAAAGCTCAAGGGTAGTCTTTCATCCTGGGAAAGTACACCTGAGGTAGCTGTAGTCTTAGAACTGTGCGAGCCATGTTCAATCTCCTGTATTTCTGGGAGCCCACTAAAGAGAAGAGGCAAGTGGGAGGGGAAGTGAGAAAAAGAATAAGACAGGGAAGAAAATGACATTACTACAAGTTTCTCAATAGGCAGGTTATGCTTAAAGCAAAGAAACAGAACTATATAAGGGGTTGGATTCAGATTTATGTGTTTGCAACTGGGCTAGTAAAACCAGAGTTTGCCTACTGCTCCTCTGCATGGTAGCTCCTTCAGGTTCCTGAAAACACTACACAGAAAGTCAGGAGCTAAATAGGGTGAGCAGTGCTGTGGATCCCCAAAAACCGGGTGGAGATACCATCTATATATGGAGTTCTTTTGCCAATGCAAGGCAGATTCTGCATCCAACCCATGAACTTGATGTCTCATAGAGTTAGTAACATGAGAACAAGAAAATGGGGAGAAATCTCAGGGATACTTTCTCCCTAGGGTCTATTTCTTCCCTGAAAGGCACTAGGAGAAAAGTTCCTGATGGTCAGGTTGTGCCTGTTAGGAGGACTCTCTGGACATTTCACTGTTTTCTCTGATGAAATGAAAAGTGAGAAGTTCAGAGTTGTGAGGGGAGCTTGCTATAGGCCCATCAGTGTAACCATCGCTAGGACCCTAGATTTCTCATATAGTGCTTTTAATATTTTTGCTAAAACAATGCTACAGTTCCAGAAGACCATTTACTATGATGGAGCTGCAGACTAAGAAACTAAAAAGAAAATACTGTAGTATTTATTTGGATTCAACATATTTTATCAATTGCTAAAAAAGAGCTAACTCATTTGATATGTTTATTTGAAATAAGATGCCAACTTTGTATACATCTTGAAAAAACTGAAGGAAAATTTAAGGGGAAATTAAATATAGAATCAATGTAACTACATTTGTGTCCATAGCAGCAGTGGTAGTATGGAATGGTATATCATGTGTAACTTTCCTTTTTTAAAAATCTGAGAACTGCTAAAATATATTTTAACAAAGAACATACATTCTAACAAGGCAGTTGTTGGGTACTAATGTTAGTGAGATGTTCCATTATCAACTTGTGAGATATTATGAAGGGTATACTCCTAGTACCTGGCTTTGACCTGCCTAGCAGCCTCTTCCTCCCCCTCATCCTCTGTATTAGGTTCTGTGACAGGTTGCTCCTCTTTCTCCTCTTCATACTCTTCCTCTCTAGGATCAAGCCAAAGGAGACAGGTGTGCAGTTGGACAGAAACACATAACACAGAAAAGAGAAATGGGATGTGGAGATAGTCTCAGCAAAACAAATTCAAATTAGGAGTACAAGAAGGAAAGAAAAAAGGAATAAATATTTAAAGCATCAATGCATGGCCTATGCTTGTTTACTAATATGTGCAAGTTAGTATGTTGACTTTTAATGCCATATTATCACAGCTATATCTTCAAGCATGTGGTTCAAAGCAGCAACACTGTTTTCAGATCAGATAATATATACAACTAATGCATTTCTGTGCTTGATTATATAAAATATTCCCTAGATGTGTCATTCACCCCTTCTGTAGGTTCCCAAAACTTTATGCTATATTTTCCCTTTTCCCTCAAGGAAAAGACTCCATTAGCCCAAAGCAGCAACAGAACAGCTCTCCAAAGATGGTGCATTCCTCTGCTTGTATTGTCTCCAGATATTGCCTCAGTTCAGATGGAAAAGTCTCAGGATGCAACCCTATGCATGTTGGACAGACAGAAGTTCTACAACCCCCAGCATTTTCCTGCTAGTATGACCGGCTGGGAAATGCCGGGAGGGGTAGGACATTTTTCTGTCTAAACATGTGTGGAGTTGAATCTTCTATTTCTGTGAGGAAAAAGGGATAGCTGATTTTGGAACTCTGTGCAGCTCTAATGCAGTGCTTCAACTCTGAATGAGTGACAGTGTTTGCTGAAAATATTTCTGAGTCCTGCTTTTTTCAGTGCACTTTTGCCTCATGCCATGATGTTATAGTGGGGGTTGGTGATAATGTGCAGGCTTAGATTATATTCTTCTGGCACTCTCACTCAGTGCTGTCATTGCCTGCCACCTCTGCATAATTTGCTGCTTTTTTAGCACAGCATGTTAACCCTGGCCTTGGAACACTGCACAAAGCCTCAATTCTGTCCAGGCAACTGTGCCTGGAAAAGTGGTTTTACATGTTGTTTACTGCTCTGATTCCTCTCTGCCATGTGCCAGAATGGCAATAGCAGAGCTTGGTGATAGCCGTGCTGTATGTGCAGGTAGCTGTACTTTCATGTAACCTCCATATACTACATGCCACCTCTGTTCACCATATTGCTGGCTGCAACAAAATAGTCTCAACGGTGACTTCAGGCCACTTTCTGGTGCTCCAGCACAGTGCCCTAAGACTGATCTGTGGACTCTGCCCAGCAAACATGTTTCACAATTAGAGTTTGCTGTCTCTGCCTGCCTGGAGCCAAAAAGGAGTGAGGTTAGGTGGACTGCCACGCTGGCCTGAGGCATATGCATACCTTTGACACTCACACCCAATGCTGACTCAGTCCATCTGCCTCTACTCACCTACCCACCTCTTTCTGAGCAGTTATATCAACTCTGACAGTCAAACATTTTCATCACTATAGCACAGTACAAATAGGTGATGGTGTGTGGCACAGACCTGTCAACTGGCTGTTCCATCTCTCTCTTGCTACCTCCAGAAAGGCCTACCCACTGTTGCTTTGCCAAGCCCTCTGCTTCACAGTAAAGTAAGGCTGCTTTCCTGGGCTTTACACCTGCATGAGGCCTGCTGTCAGGAAGATTTCCTAGTTGCACTTCTTCTGTGGGAGCACTACCCCTCCCTTCTCCAGGTATATAGTGGAGGGGCTCCAGCCATTTTCCTAGTTCTTATGAGACCAACATTTTAGCCTTGGAACTGGGGAAGAACAGCCAGTAATGGCCTGACCTTCACCATCCCACTATGGGTGCTCAGGAAAAAAAGCTACAGGACAAGACTGTCAACAGCAATGTGGGGTCAGTGGACAGGTTGTGTGAAGGTACAGATGGCTACTTGGAGAATGCCAGTTACAAGTAAGCCACCTTTCTTCTTCATGGTCTCTGTGCATCATACATATGGGCTACTAGAGAGCTTACCTTGAAATGGAGGAGGGCAGGTGTCATCAGTGGAAGACTGGTGAGAGCACCTCTTGGCCAAAAAGAGTAATCCTACTTGGCACAGACATCGAGCCAGCAGTGCTGGATGAAGGTCAACAGGGTGGACCATGTTGCTGTTCTGCAGAGAAGCTGGAGAGGGATGCCAGCATGTAGTGCTCTAGAAGTTGCCATTGTCCTGGCAGATTGTGCCCTCAATTGCTCAGGGAGCTTCAGTCTGGACAGCTAGTAGGCCAGTTTGATTGTCTTGATGACTCAGTGTGTGGCCTGTTGAGGCCTGATTGCATTGTCTCTAGAGCGTCAGCCATATGCAACAAAGAGTCTGGGACTGCTGGAAGGATTTGGTATGGGACTGACAGAATGCCAATGCCCTGCAAGGCCAACTCCACCACCCACTGAACCATTGCCCTGGGTTCAACTTGGAGCCCAAGGAGAAGTCAATCAGTGCCACTGCCCTGTCCACTGGAAGATATACCCATGCTATCACTGAGTTGAGTTTCACCCCAATGTAGTCAATTGAGGCAAATGACCCCCCCCCCACCTAGTGACACAGTAGTAAAAGATTATGTACAAGATCATGTAGAACTTCTTATGGGGGATGAAGAAGTTCCTGTCCAGCAAGTCTAGGATGGGATGGAGGCCACCTTCCTTCTTCAGTACTGTAGAGTACCAAGAATAGAATCCAAAATGAAGATCAGATGAAGGAATGGGCTGCAGTGCTCCCTTCAACAGCAGTGTGGCTACTTCCTCTGCCAGCATGGGAGAAAATGATGTTGAGTGCACGGAACTGAAAGTATACTGGTTCCACTGGGACCATCGCAACAAAAGGCATAGGCAGTGCCAGTGGTGAACAACAAATGGCTTCCTTTGAAGTGGCTTCACTTGGCTGGAGGGAAATTAGTAGGCTGCAGTGGTCAGAGGCATTGCCTCTTGGTGTCCAGTCTGTTCCTCTGCACCAGTTACTCACTAGTGTGGGCACTGAGGAGACCTTTGCTGGCAAAGAAGCTGCTCTTTGTGAACCTCCTGAAACAGGCTCACTCCATGACGACCCTGGAGATGCTGCAGAAGGAACAGGATGTCACATTCTTGGACTCAGTACAGGCTTTCCAACTAGCTGGATGTTGGCAGTGGCTGTGCTGGTGCCCTCCATAGATCTATCATGGAAAGAATGGAATGGCCACCAGCATCATGTGCTCTGTGTATTCAGTACAAATGATGCTCCCAGGCCGTCAGAGAGGGATCCTAGGTACTGTGCTGAAATTATGTCTTCAGGTGAGGAGGTGGGCCCTTCCTTGAGGAGCAGCAGCAAGTCTGAGGCCAAGGTATGGTCAGCTGGCAGTGAACAGGGGAGGGCAGGCAGCTGGGGGATAGGAGACAGCTTTGGTGCAGGAAATGGAGTGGGAACAGGCACAGAAATTACGCAAAATGGGACCCTCACTACCTCTGGGTGGTAGACCAGGGGTCTCCAGTGCAGGGACCATGACACCTCCCTCAGATTCCTCTTGGAAGTAGACTGCTTACCTGGATGTCCAGTAAGGAGTACGGTCTCAAAAAGGCTGATGGTGTGGACAGTTCTGCAGATGTCATGCAGTGGAATGCAAGCCGGGGGGGGGGGGGGGTTGGGAGGGGCGGGGGGAGGGGGGGGGGGGGGGGGGGGGGGGGGGGGCAGTTGACATGGCCTGGGCAAGTGGGAAGGGGGCCCATGGGCACAATGTGAGTTGGAGGCCCACCATCTCATATATGAGGCAGATGGTGCTGGAGATAGGGAGACTCTCTGTGATGAGATGGGGTCTCCTTTTCTGTGGTCTTCATAGCGCATGAAGAGGCAGTCTGAGCAGCAGATGTGTTCTATTCTCAACTTGCAGAACACAAGGGCCCTGAGAACTTGGGGAAAGTGTACTGTGGTTTCTACGGGAGTGGAGGGGCTGGGGAAGAAGGCTGGCAGGATGATGTTCTCAGGGTCATGGTGGAAAACAGCCTTGTCCCTCTGGAAGGCCAGGTAAGGTGCATTGACTCATAGTGCTGAGAGTTTGCTGGGGTGGCAGGCTGATGTGTTAGGCCACCTTCCATGACAGGAAGCATAGTTCTGTGGTCACTGTGGGCTCAAAGGGCCTTTTGGTAGGGGAATGGAGGAATACTGACAGGCTCCATGATGGCGTGCAAGGCCGGGTGGGTAGGGTGATGTCGTGGAGGCTCTGCCTTGTGGGAAGTTGTGTGCTGGGGTGTGTGTGTAAAGAATGAGGTCCCCCTGATTGGTGGGTGAAGGTGAGACATGCCTGTCAGATGCATGCATATTGAAAAGGGGATGAGGCCATTGCTGAAGTGGGTCTGGGGGAAGGTGAGGATGTGCTCTATGGAGGTTTATTTGGGGTTGAGCTGCACTGCCTTAGTGAAGGTTACGAAAGTGTTCCACATGGCCAGTTAGGATCTGTGGGTGGACCATCTAAGGGCTACCTCCAGTATGGTAGAAACTGCAGGTGGGAGGGACATCTCATAGGTCATGGTGTGATCCCCCAGGCTGTCAGGTTCAGCATCCTGACATTGGGGTGGAGGATGTGGCCCTGATCGTGCAATAGCAGGTTGTGGTGCTGTGACAGGTAGAAGAGGTTCCCTCTGGATAGCAGGAGGAGGTGGGGGAGCCACATCAACCAGGGGTTGATGAGGATAAAGTCCATCCTTTCCCTCTGAAACTTGGTGATCACTGTTGTGTGCACACACAGGGAAAAGCAGCCAGAAGGGTCATGGCCTGTTGATAGATATGATGGGAACTGGAGTTCAGACAGTGAAGATGAAGCAGTTTTGGAATGTCAGCAAATGACAGTATCAGGTTAAGGTCAGGGAATATCTGCAGTTCAAGCACAATTGCCCCACTTATGTGGGGGTAGTGACCAACCATCCCATGAAAATGGAGAGATAGCCCAGCAAGAAGAACTGGGGGTGGAAGATGCTGAGAGCTCCGATCTGCCAGTGGGAGGCAGATTCAGGGTCTGCCTAGGGTATGCACCAAGAGATGAGTAGTCTGTCAGATGTAGAGGTCCCTCCTCCTGAGAAGGTG